GCTGCTTCAACACTAACTGCGGTTACTGAAACCACGCCTTCTTTCTTTGCATGAACATTTGGGCGCATTATGCAAATATTCCCACATAGTGACCTAGATATGTGGGGGCGTGTTAGAACGAGCTGTTTTAGGGGTGTGTGGCAGAGTCTTAACTTTGATAAAGAATATCTCTTTGGTTTTGAGACTTTAGTCTTTGCAACTTCAGGGATCTTATCTATTCACGAACAGCTTGTAACGCTTGAAATCGCATCATATGACCCCTTTAAATACAGCTGAAAAGTCAACAATACAGTGTTTAATGGCAAGTTGACTTGTGACAACTTACCCCATATAGTGTGACAACATGCCCCACTGTTGGTCAACTGTATCAAAATGAATTTTTTCAAAAGCCTTTTTTTTATGTGTTTGAAAGAAGTCTCTCATGCTAACCAAGCCTGCATTTATTTGATTTTAAAATACAATAAAAACTAATATTGTGAATTATTGCAATTTTAACAATATTAAATATTTAAAAAAACATTATTATCAATGTTGAAAACAGTTGTGCTGCTTCGTATTTCTATGTAAACTGTGACACATTTTTAGGATTCTTTGCTGAATGAACAGCATTTATTTGAATTAGAAATATTTTGTAACACTATAAATGTCTTTAATGTCACTAAAGATCCACTTAAGACTCCTTTCAGACTAAAAGTATCGATTTCTTGAACAAAATAAACCTACTCTAGAAAATATTCGTCGAAGTGAAAAGTGTGACAACCTGCCCCTAATACAGCAGTAGTGCATTGGCAGGAGTGACATGGCGAAATGTGAGAGAGATGGATTGAAGAATTTCCTCAGACACACACGTCGCATCCCCCGCATTGTTCTGTTGTGCTTCGTGACTCCCTGTCTCCTCTCACTTTCAACATCCTCTCTCCCGCTCATCTCTCTCACACTCTCCGTTCTCACTAGCTCTCTCCATTGCTCTGTTCTCTATTTCTTTGCCTATATTCAGTCCTTTCCAATCCCTCCCACCTTCGATTCATGTAAGATGTCCGCCCACCCTAACAGAATGGGGGCAACAGTAATGATTTGGGAAAATCTGTCAGACTCATGACATATATTCTCTCTTTCTCTCTCTCTCTCTCTCTCTCTCTCTCTCTCACACACACACACACACACACACATGCTCGTGCATGCAGGAGTGCTGTGGCTTTCCCTGCTCTCTCTGGGAGTATAATGACATTGCATCTGGTTCTTATAAAGAGGGGGATGCTGGTTTTATACTCTAATGAAGCTGACGCACAAAGCAGCGTGTTGCATTGATCTCCTGCAGGCTGCTACTTGAACTACATGTTACTTGTGACACTTACAAGAGATACAACAAAGCATATGCTTACATGAACACACACAGGTCTTTCTTCAACTTTGGGCACTTTTACGTATAGATTTTTTATCAGAATTGAACTATTTAAATGTTTTAATACATTTTTTAAATTTCTTAGAAACTTTACCATGTCTCATTGTTTATCTTTGCTACTTTTTAAAATGCCTGTAGATTTAAAGGGGTGGTTGACTGGTTTTATTCTAGGCTTGATTGTGTTTATGGAGTGTAGTCTAATATGTGTTAATGCTTCGTTAAAAAAAAAAAAACACATTATTTTTCACATAATTTACCTTTATTCCACACCGCTCTGTCCCTTCTCCTATAAACGCGCTGATCATTTCCTGCTTTTATGAAGCCCCTCTCTCAGAAATACGCATTGGGCTCAGATTGGTTAGCTGGTCCAGTGTGTTGTGATTGGTTAATCTGCCTCTAGTGCGCGTCTAATCGTCACGCCCTTCGCCTCAGCGGCATGTGCTCCGGTTGTATCGTAAACAATGACGTCGTCAATATTGCTTATCAATTTGAGCCCGATTGAAACGCAGAGGATATTATTGAAGAGGATCGTGCAGAACCTGTGCAAGCACACGGCTCTTAATGGTATGTTTTTTGTTTGTTGTTGTCTCATACTTTTAGAAACGCTGTTATTTGTAAATGCTAGTGCTTCTATTTGCTTTTAATATACGGTTTTATCCAGATTAAAGCTTGCAGAACCTGTGCAAGCACGGCTTTTAATGGTAGGCCTATGTTTTTTGTTTGTTGTTGTCTCATACTTTTAGAAACGCTGTTATTTGTAAATGCTAGTGCTTCTATTTGCTTTTAATATACGGTTTTATCCAGATTAAAGCTTTAATACAGTACGGCAACCGCACACGTGTCCATGTTTAACGCTTCTCATAGCTATGTGAAAATAAGTGTATAAATGGAACAGTTCATTGTTGGAGCTGAGCTGATGATCTGAATGAGAGAGAGAGAGAGATGCAGAGCAGGACGACGCGATGAACAGTATTAAGAACTGCTGCTTTAGAACAATGATTTTTAAACTTGTGAATCCATTAGAATCGTTAGAAGACAGAATTGCGATTCATATATGAATAGATTTTTACGTGCACCCCTAGTTTTCTCTTCCTCTTCTCTAAAGCAGCACAACATGGCCTCGCCCCCTTGTTACATGTTCTCGAGGGCGGGGTTTATCTGGGTTCGTGACATAACAAACCCGGGAAGTAACTCGTTGTAGTCCCTATGAGCCGTTTTTGTAGGCATTAAGCTGCCAGAATTTTAAAAGACGATATCTCCGTTTGCATTGAGCTTTCAGCGCCTGAATACAGTATTGGAAAGTTACATTGGAAATAGGTTACAGATTACAAATAAGAAGTGTAACTATTTCAATTACTTTATTAAAGTAATGTAACTGATTACAATTACATTTATTTTGTAATTAAACTATGTAATTTAGTTACATGTAGCTAGTTACTCCCTGGCACTGAATTAATATATATTTAACAATTCTATTATTATTATTTTTACTCAAACTGTCCATCAGTTGTGGCGTCATTTTCATCAAAGCCAACAGTTTTGCACTTCATGAAGTTTGTTAAAGTGTCATTTGTTACCAAGGAGACAACAGGGTTGGTGAATAGCACAGATGTAATAAGAGATGTAAAGAACACAAAGAAAAAACGTAAATATAATTTGAACAGAAGAGAATATTTGTGTGTGTTTTTATTTTAAATCAAGCTGTAATTTGATCGAATCTTGTGAAAATATGTAATTTGTCTGGAAATTGTATATAATTGTGTGTGTTTAGGATTAAATGCTAGTTGTAAAATTAGCCACAACAAGACAAAAGAGTCAAACTTTAATTGAATAAAATAAAATAAAATAAATAAATAAGCCATTCCATTGTTGTCATTTCCATCACAAAATTAATTGTGGAATAAATATGGTGGAAATTACATTCGTGCATGATGGTGCAGGGAAAACCTGTTTTAGGAGATTATTTTCCAAACGCACCCATACAGTAGTTGAAGAAACACCTTTACACACATGTACTGTAGATAAACTGATTGCATAATTGCTACAACCTATCAAATTGTCTCTGTCTCTCTCTGTCACACAGTATCAGCAAGTGTATGACGATGCCTTCATCAGTGCGGTGGTTATCTCGCTTGTCCTCACCTCATTTTTTGGAGTGGTCTATTTTCTCATCATTCCTCAGTATGTAAATCACACACACAATACCTGATACATCAACATAACACACCTTTTCTTTATTTGCCAGACACACTAAATTGATCACACATTTTAGATGCTCAGGTCACTGCATCACACAACACACATGCATATAACATTCTCTCTTTTTCTCTTTCTTTCTCTTGCTGCAGAGGTCTTCTGGTTGTGATTCTGCTGGTTCTCTGTTTGTGTTTCCACATGGCAAGTGTGATGTACCTTCACATCACTCATGTGCAGGTAACACTGGTCTCCAGGCCGGGGACTCTCCATAGTCATAATGATTTTTATATTGTACAAACTGTATTTTCTATCCCCTACCCCTAAACCTATCCCTCATTCAAAACTTTCTGCATTTTTAGATTTTCAAAAAAGATAATTCATTCCCACTTTATATTAGGTGGCCTTAAAGGGTTAGTTCACCCAAAAATGAAAATTAGCCTGTGATTTACTCACCCTTGAGGCATCCTAGGTGTATATGACTTTCTTCTTCCACCGGAAAGGCTTCTGCGTACAACAGATACTGGAAGTGAGATAAAAGTGTTTATTACGTTTGAAATATGGATATTTTTCTTACAAAAACGCATAGATTCATGACAACCATGACAGGGTGGACATATCTTATGGTTTATGTTTTGAATAATGGCCCATAATTATCTAAAAAAAATGCGTGGGAGCTCAGCTAATATGTTTCTATAGTACTTGAGTGTCTACTATTTATGATATGACATAAAGCGAATGGGAAATTAAAACCCAAATTTTTGAGTATTGTAAGGGTTGAAAGGCACTCACTCTATCCTGATATTGACCCATAACTCCGATTGGATTCGTCTGAAAGAAGAAAGTCATATACACCTAGCATGCCTCGAGGGTGAGTAAAACACAGGCTAATTTTCATTTTTGGGTGAACTAACCCTTTAACTACTACGTACTTACATCAAAAAATATGTACAATGTACTTATTGTGTTTATATTGTATTGAAACACTTTTACTGCTATTGAGGTGGGATACGGTAAGGTTAGGGACAGGTTTGGTGGTATGGGTAGGTGTAAGGGATGGGTCAGCAGTGTAATTATAAATGTAGTTACAGAAGTACAATGTAAAAGCATATGGGGACATGAATGACACCTAAAATAAAAAAATAAATAAATAACTTGGACCAGTAAGCAAACACCCAGAATACAACAGCAACCACATAGCAACACCCTAGTATCCACCCCGGGCACTCTAGCACCACCAAGCAATCATCCAGAATATCTTACAAAAAGAGCACCATGGCACCACCTTGGAAACATACAGAACATCCTAGCAACATCAAAGCAACCACATAGCAACACCCTAACAACCACCCAGAGTAACTTAGCAACCGTCCAGATTACCCTAGCAAAATTGTAACAATTACACAGAAACACCCTAACAACCGCCCAGAGCTCCTTAGTACCACCTCGGAACCATTTAAAACATCCTAGCAACATCAAAGTAACCATATAGCAACACCCTAACAACCACACCGAGTTTCCTAGCAACCATCCAGAACACCCTATAAATACCCTAATAACTATGTAGCTCACCCTAGCAACACTGTAGCAATCACATTGAAACACCCCAACGACCACCCAGAGCTCCTTAATACCACAACCATTCAAAACATCCTAGCAACATCAAAGCAACCATATAGCAACACCCTAACTACCACCTAGAGTTCCCTAGCAACCATCCAGAACACCCTATAAACACCCTAGCAACTGTCCAGATCACCCTGGCAACATTGTAGCAATCACATAGAAACACCTCAACGACCACCCAGAGCTCCTTAGCACCACCCCGGAACCATTCAGAACATCCTAGCAACATCAAAACAACCACATAGCAACACCCTTACAACCACCCAGAGTACCTTAGCACCCATTCAGATCAATGGGTGATAAAGTTTTTGGAAAGTTTAAAGTTCAGTATTAGTGAACAGTTTTCATGTTTTTGTTATTATCTGAAGTTTCATTTGCATCTTTAAACTGTAGGGGTATGAAAGGGGTATAAAAGGAATTTTCCTTTTTTGCAAAAGCCAAAAATCCGATATTTTTTTTCTTCAAGAAACACATTCGGAAGCTTCGGATGTTCCTTTCTGGTGTAATGAGTGGGGCGATGATGTTTTTTAGTCATGGCTCGAACCGATCTGCTGGGGTCGCTGTTTGTTTTCAGAAATGTCCTGGTAAAATCATCTTTAACAAAGCGGATGACGATGGTCATTGGCTAGCAATGGTTCTCAGTTTAGATAAATTATTTTTCATTTTGATAAATGTGTATGGATATAATAGTCGCATCCAGAATAAAGAGTTGCTTTTTTCAATTACTAATATCATAAAGGATTTGAAGTCCACTTACCCCACAGATTTTATTTTAATTGGTGGAGATTTCAATTTGACTCCAGATGAGTGGTTAGACAGACATCCCTTTAAATATAATGCCTCTCAAATCAATGACATTATTCAAAATTTCTGCTCCTCAAACCACTTGATTGATATTTGGAGACTACACAATCTGGACATTAGACAGTTTTCTTGGATTAAACCCAATGCAAATGCCAGATCAAGAATTGATTACTGGCTTGGCACTGAGGCTGTTTCTAATTATGTATGTAAGTGTACCATCTCTAGTGCTCCATTAACTGATCATTGTTTAATTGATTTAAATTTAAAACCAAAGGAAGACTCTCGTAGAACTAAAGGGTATTGAAAATGTAATGCTGAATTATTGAATCAGGAAGACTATGGAATATATATAAAGAAGATTATAACTGATATTGGTAAGAAATGTATGCCTAGGTGCAGTAAATGGGAATTTTTAAAATATAAACTTAGAGAATACTCAATAACTTATGCAATTAATCTAAAAAAAAAAGAGACGAGAAGGAAATTCAGCTAATTCAGGAGATCAATAAGTGCTGTTGTAAATCTATTTGAACAAATGAGGATAAGGATAAACTTATTAATTTACATTGTTTATTGGATGAACTTTATATAAGAAAGGCAAAGGGTGCATATGTGAGGTCAAGAGCAAAATGGATGGGAGAGGGGGAGAAAAATAGTTCATACTTTTGTAATCTTGAAAAAAAGACGTCAAGAGAGAAATGTTGTAGGCAGTTTATTAATAAATCAGAAAGAATGTTATGATAATGATACTATTATAAATGAGGTGTTTCAATTTTATTCAAATTTATATACATCATCTCATTCCAATGATAATACTAATGATTAAGAAAGTGAAGAGTCATATTCCTAAAATTGAGAATTAATTCAAAGAATTATGTGATTCGGACCAAGAATTAGATCTAGCCTTAAAAAGAATGAAATCGGGCAAATGACATCAGACTTCTATAAGTTCTTTTGGGAAGACTTAAAACATTTACTTTTAGAAGCACTACAAGATTGTATTATGTATAATGACTTATTGCCTACGATGAAGCACGGTATTATTATTTTAATTCCAAAACCTGGTAAGGATAAAATCATTTTAGATCATCTACGGCCTATTACACTTCTAAATACTGATTACAAAATATTTACTGGGGCGATAGCTTGGTGCTTGACATCTTAGAATATAATCAATTGAAGACGATGGATTTATTTTATTTCTGGACTTTTTTAAAGCCTTTGATATGGTCGAACACCCTTTTCTTTTCCAGGCTCTTTATCGTTTTGGTTTTGGACCAAAATGTATTAATATCATCAAAATGCCTACAGATCTTCTTTATGCACCAAGAGCTTGTAACACTCCAAAGAGAAAGGAAAAATTGAAATCGCATCATATGACCCCTTTAAAGAACGAGAATATTGCTGGTATTAACTTTATGGATCACAAAATTATTATCAGTCAACTTGCTGATGATACAACCCTTTTTTAAAAAAAAACAAATGCAGATCCCCCTAGCACTTCACTCTGTAAGATGTTTTGCAAAAGCATCAGGATTACAGTTAAATACATCAAAATGTGAACTGATGGCTATTCATGACTGCCCCTTGTCCTCATTATATAATATTTCAATTAAAAAAATATCTAGGAATTCATGACTGCCCCTTGTCCTCATTATATAATATTTCAATTAAAAAGGATGTAAAATATTTAGGAATTATAATTTCAAAAGATGAAGATAGAATAGAATTGTTAAATATTGACAGAAATATTGAAAAATGTAGATCCAATCTGAACTTTTGGTTACAGAGGGACATCACAATATTCGGGAGAATATTATTAACAAGTCTTATTAAGTCTTTCAAGGTTAATTTACCCAGGGTCTTCATTGCCGATATCTACCAGAAAGATAAAAGCTATTAATAAATTGAATTTTGATTTCATCTGGAGAAAGAAATATCACTACAATCGGAAAAATTATATAATAAAGGAATATGAGGAAGGTGGGCTAAAGGCAATTGATTTTGATATCATGAATGGGGTTCTTAAACTTAAATGGCTCCAATCTTTTATCAAAAATGGGCATTAATTTTGGTTTGCAATTCCATCCAGTCTCTTTAAAAAATGTGGAGGTATAAAGTTTTTTTGACAATGCGACTTTGAGCTTTCTAAAGTTCCACTGAAACTATCTGTTTTTCATAAACAAGTCCTCTTGTATTGGAAGATGTTATTCAAACACAATTTCAGTCCACATAATGTATCCTTATGGAATGACCGTTGTGTATTGTTTCAGAGAAAATCTTTGTTTATGGAGGCGTGGTGGCTAAAAGGTATTTGGTCAGTGCTGCACATGATGGATACAAATGGCTGTTTTTGGAATTATAATGATTTCAGTACCAAATTCAACTTTAATTGTGAGAAGAAAGATTATATAAAAGTCATCAAAAGTATTCCTTTACCAATGGCTATTATGTTAAAATGGTTTTTTTACATATTCTACGCTTATTCCCAGAATAGTTGATCTTAATTTAGACAAAATATGTTTTGTTGATAAGAAGTGTACAAATAAGATTATAAGAAATTGTCTTTTGCAGAAAAGCTATCCTGGTCGTATACGAAGAGATTACATTTTTCGACATCTTAGTAGGAAATTAGTAAAGGAATTCAGAAGCAAATATCTTCTATTTCCCCTTCCACTCAAATATAAAGAAATACATTTTAAAATGATGTATGATATTTACCCAGCCAAAGAATTTCTAAGATTAAGATTTCATGGAGTCAAATACTTGTCAGATTTGTAATAATGATATTGAAACTGTTGAACATTTATTTTTTCAATGCAATTTGGTTAATCCATTTTGGAATGAGGTGCTTAATTGGACAAAACATAAAGGACCTTCTTTTCCATCTATCAGTTGGGATATGGTAAAATTTGGTGTACATTTGGAGGACAAAAACGCAGACTTTGTTATAAATGGTCTATTTCTTATAGTTACATTTTTTATTCACAAATGTAAAGTTTTGAAAACTGCACCCCAATTTAATATATTTACAAAAGAGCTAACCTTATATACTGATGCCTTAAAAATGATGAGAACATATAAAGCCAGGAAATTACGTGTTTTGTTTAATCAATATGACTTTATTTCAAAAATGTATTAGCCAATTTGAATTAATCCCCTACAGTGCTGTTGTATTTGAATTATTTAATTATTTATTTTATTTGATTACTATTATTATTATTTTTTGTGACATTATGTATTACAATTTGTTATATTATATCTCAGTCTGTGAAGTTGTACAATTTAAATTATGTTGGCCTGTTATGTTATTGTTCATATGCAGAATAAAATAAAAAAAAAAAAAACCTAGCAGCCACATAGCACCTTAACAACCATCCAGAACATTATAGCTACACCTAACAACCACACAGGACATCGTAGCACCACCTATCAGCCACATAGCACCTTAACAACCATCCAGAACATTATAGCTACACCTAACAACCACACAGGACATCGTAGCACCACCTATCAGCCACATAGCACCTTAACAACCATCCAGAACATTATAGCTACACCTAACAACCACACAGGACATCGTAGCACCACCTATCAGCCACATAGCACCTTAACAACCATCCAGAACATTATAGCTACACCTAACAACCACACAGGACATCGTAGCACCACCTATCAGCCACATAGCACCTTAACAACCATCCAGAACATTATAGCTACACCTAACAACCACACAGGACATCGTAGCACCACCTAGCAGCCACATAGCACCTTAACAACCATACAGAATAGCATAGCTCCACCTAGCAGCCATCCACAGTGCTCTAGCATCATGGAAGTAATTTTCTTCAGGAAATGTCAAACTCTAGTTGTTTGTGTGTTTTTGTTCTGCAGGTTTTCTGATTGCTCTTTCCTATCTTTGTGTTCTCAGTGCTCTCCTGACTGTCTGACCCTGCAGATCAGAACGGTTCTGTGTGGGTTTCTGGTGCTGCTGATGTACTCCGTGACACATCGTAGCACCACCTATCAGCCACATAGCACCTTAACAACCATCCAGAACATTATAGCTACACCTAACAACCACACAGGACATCGTAGCACCACCTATCAGCCACATAGCACCTTAACAACCATCCAGAACATTATAGCTACACCTAACAACCACACAGGACATCGTAGCACCACCTATCAGCCACATAGCACCTTAACAACCATACAGAATAGCATAGCTCCACCTAGCAGCCATCCACAGTGCTCTAGCATCATGGAAGTAATTTTCTTCAGGAAATGTCAAACTCTAGTTGTTTGTGTGTTTTTGTTCTGCAGGTTTTCTGATTGCTCTTTCCTATCTTTGTGTTCTCAGTGCTCTCCTGACTGTCTGACCCTGCAGATCAGAACGGTTCTGTGTGGGTTTCTGGTGCTGCTGATGTACTCCGTGACCCAGGGGTGTGTGGTGAGTGTGTGTGTACAGTAGAAGAGAGTGACGACTGTATGACTGAGGGTGTAATTAATTCCATTATTTAACTTCCCAAATATGTGTTCAACTATTAGTTTCTTTCTGATGTTGAATGTGTTTGTGTTGCTGTACCTACACAGGTGGTATGTGTACCGTGGTCACTGGAGGGGAATTCCAATGTTTCCATGGTGACAATTGTCACCGTCAACGGGACCAGCGTGGGCTCCGGGGTGTGCAAATACACTCCGTACGTATTTTTATCATGTGTGATGGCGTCGCTATCTGTGGCTCTGTACCTCCGTGTGTCATCACTACCCAAGATCCTCCTGCTTCTCCTTCTCAACATCCTCCACACTGTCGTCATGGAGACTAGCAGCTATCGGAAGGCCATAGGGTGAGTCGAGCTAAACGCAAAGGTTATAGGAGTGTTTGTAGTTCATATTTGTTTAATTATCTCAGGGTTACCCAAACTGGGATTTGTGAGAAATATTTTGTTTACCTGCAAGTAATGTCACCATTAACTGACACCAGAGAACTGAGAACATGTGAATGTGTTGTTAAATTATTGAAATGTTAATTTAATAACTCAGGAGCAAATTTAAAAGTAAATGTTTTCAGTCAAAAGGCTGGATCCCTCTTTTATCTGATAATCTGATGGGTGTCATTGTGTTTGTGTGTGTGTAGAGGTGGATTCTTTCACACACACAGCTATGACCCTGTTCTGGCAATGCTGCTGTTTTCTGGAGCTTTGGTGCTTCACTGCAGACAGCTGGATCTCAAACTCAGACTGGACTACCTCTGGGCCACCCAGGTGAGTGCACCTGTGTGTATGCAAACATTAGGGTGTGTGTGTGTGTGTGTGTAAATGCATCACTTAGTAAAAAGTAATATATTTAAAATACATTTATTTCATACCAAGTATAGTTCAAATCTGTTAACATTTTCCCTAACATTTTGTTTGAGATTACTGACATAAAAATTATAAAATAATTATATAATTTATTAATATTTATTTGGAGTACTATTTGTGCACAATGCACATTACTTAATATTAAGCCTAAAATGTGTTTTAATGTCACTATTGATGAGGATTGTAGGATTTTTTTAAATAATATCAGTCTTTAAGCAAGAGAGAGAGGGCAAGCAAGCAAACAGAAGCTTGTTAGTGACAAATTGTTAAAACATTTAGGATGCTGGGAGAGAATGAATCAACAAATCAGAGGTGGCCAAATGAAGACAAGATGGAACCACTAAGGTATTAGATAAACTTTCCTGATTAATCATCCAGGTTGACGTGTAGTAAAATTCTCCCAGCATGAACACGGTCTCATGAGGATTAATCCAAATGACTGGAATTGTGAGTCCAGATTCACCCAAGAATGCACATTCTGTCATTATTTATTCACCCTCATGTCGTTCTAAACATGTATGACTTGCTCTCATCCATGAAACACAAAAGGATGTGAGAAAATCACAGAGAGCATCATTGAAGGACCATAAAAGTAGCCCATATGATTGATTCACTATGCACAATGATAGCTATGTGTGAAAAGACTCAAATTTACAATATTATTTATCAATAAATGTCTTTTCTGGTGAGGTTCTCAGATCTCACTCATGCCATTCACAATAGATCAAATATGAATACGCACATATTAAAATGAAACAAATTTAATTTAGGCGCTAAAATGGAGGAGAAGTTTTTCCAGTTTTTTAATCATATGGCTTCAACACATACATATATATATACATATACATACATATATACATATATACATATATATATGTTCTGCAAATAACAAAAACAACACAAAAGTATTACACCAGTTATAATATTTCAATTTCTTCTAAGGCAGTCTGTTATGAGTTGGTAGGGGAGCAATTGAAAATGTAAAAAGTACTGTGTCTGTAAAAATACATACATTTATTCTTGCAAATAATCATACAGGGTGAGTAAATGATGACCCTAAATTAACTACCCCAGTAAAAAAGTATTTATATTTAAAATACATTTATTTCATACCAAGTATAGTTCAAATCTGTTAACATTTTTCCTAACATTTTGTTTGAGATTACTGACATAAAAATTATAAAAGAATTATATAATTAATTAATATTTATTTGGAGTACTATTTGTGCACAATGCACATTACTTAATATTAAGCCTAAAATGTGTTTTAATGTCCATCACTTAGTAAAAAGTAATATATTTAAAATACATTTATTTCATACCAAGTATAGTTCAAATCTGTTAACATTTTCCCTAACATTTTGTTTGAGATTACTGACATAAAAATTATAAAATAATTATATAATTTATTAATATTTATTTGGAGTACTATTTGTGCACAATGCACATTACTTAATATTAAGCCTAAAATGTGTTTTAATGTCACTATTGATGAGGATTGTAGGATTTTTTTAAATAATATCAGTCTTTAAATGCAAGATATTTAAAGTGTACCCAATGTACACAATCAAATATACTTCAGTATATCTTTAGTTGGACTTCAGCACAATTAAAGTGCATTAAGTACAAAATTAAGTTGTTCCAAATTAGCAGACTTTAAGTATACAGTATCTGTTTAGTATACTAAAAGTACAATTGCAGGGTATTATTTAAGTACATAAATATGTAAATGTATCTGTAGTATACCTAGCATAAAATAAATGTATTCCAAATACATTTTAGTATATTTATTTTTTACATAGGTCATAGGAATGAGCTCACACAGAATCTACTGTATATGAGCAAAACACAGTTCTTTGCAAACTTTTAAGTACTTTTGGGAAAAGAATTGTTTCCCAAAATTCAGTTATATGAACGTGCAAAAAAAGTCCACAGATTTAGTCTGTGCCTGTATATAAGTATGAAAAATGGCTAATGAATAATTTGACTGAAATGATTTTGACCAGAAATAATAGTAATAAATAACAATGTAAAAGAAATACCACAAAATTGACTGTCTGACCCTGCAGATCAGAACGGTTCTGTGCGGGTTTCTGGTGCTGCTGATGTACTCCGTGACCCAGGGGTGTGTGGTGAGTGTGTGTGTACAGTAGAAGAGAGTGACAATTGTATGACTGAGGGTGTTGCTTATAGAATATACACTGATAAAAAAATATATATTTAATATATATATATATACTGTACATATATAATACCTTTATTTAACTTCCAAATATGTGTTTATTTATTCGTTTTTTTCTGACGTTCTTGTCTTGAATGTGTTGCTGTACCTACACAGGTGGAATGTGTACCGTGGTCACTGGAGGGGAATTCCAATGTTTCCATGGTGACAATTGTCACCGTCAACGGGACCAGCGTGGGCTCCGGGGTGTGCAAATACACTCCGTACGTATTTTTATCATGTGTGATGGCGTCGCTATCTGTGGCTCTGTACCTCCGTGTGTCATCACTACCCAAGATCCTCCTGCTTCTCCTTCTCAACATCCTCCACACTGTCGTCATGGAGACTAGCAGCTATCGGAAGGCCATAGGGTGAGTCGAGCTAAACGCAAAGGTTATAGGAGTGTTTGTAGTTCATATTTGTTTAATTATCTCAGGGTTACCCAAACTGGGATTTGTGAGAAATATTTTGTTTACCTGCAAGTAATGTCACCATTAACTGACACCAGAGAACTGAGAACATGTGAATGTGTTGTTAAATTATTGAAATGTTAATTTAATAACTCAGGAGCAAATTTAAAAGTAAATGTTTTCAGTCAAAAGGCTGGATCCCTCTTTTATCTGATAATCTGATGGGTGTCATTGTGTTTGTGTGTGTGTAGAGGTGGATTCTTTCACACACACAGCTATGACCCTGTTCTGGCAATGCTGCTGTTTTCTGGAGCTTTGGTGCTTCACTGCAGACAGCTGGATCTCAAACTCAGACTGGACTACCTCTGGGCCACCCAGGTGAGTGCACCTGTGTGTATGCAAACATTAGGGTGTGTGTGTGTGTGTGTGTAAATGCATCACTTAGTAAAAAGTAATATATTTAAAATACATTTATTTCATACCAAGTATAGTTCAAATCTGTTAACATTTTCCCTAACATTTTGTTTGAGATTACTGACATAAAAATTATAAAATAATTATATAATTTATTAATATTTATTTGGAGTACTATTTGTGCACAATGCACATTACTTAATATTAAGCCTAAAATGTGTTTTAATGTCACTATTGATGAGGATTGTAGGATTTTTTTAAATAATATCAGTCTTTAAATGCAAGATATTTAAAGTGTACCCAATGTACACAATCAAATATACTTCAGTATATCTTTAGTTGGACTTCAGCACAATTAAAGTGCATTAAGTACAAAATTAAGTTGTTCCAAATTAGCAGACTTTAAGTATACAGTATCTGTTTAGTATACTAAAAGTACAATTGCAGGGTATTATTTAAGTACATAAATATGTAAATGTATCTGTAGTATACCTAGCATAAAATAAATGTATTCCAAATACATTTTAGTATATTTATTTTTTACATAGGTCATAGGAATGAGCTCACACAGAATCTACTGTATATGAGCAAAACACAGTTCTTTGCAAACTTTTAAGTACTTTTGGGAAAAGAATTGTTTCCCAAAATTCAGTTATATGAACGTGCAAAAAAAGTCCACAGATTTAGTCTGTGCCTGTATATAAGTATGAAAAATGGCTAATGAATAATTTGACTGAAATGATTTTGACCAGAAATAATAGTAATAAATAACAATGTAAAAGAAATACCACAAAATAACACACACACACACACACACACACACTACTGTTCAAAAGTTGGGGATCAGTAAAAATTGTAATGTTTTTTTTATTGAAGTCTCTTCTGCTCACCAAGGCTGAATTGATTTATTCAAAAATAGTTGCAACAGTATTGTAAAATAATATTATATATACAATATAATAATATAATACATATTATATACTTTTAAATGTAAATTTAATTCAATTTCTATTTGAATAGGTTACATAAAATGTCACATGGTCCTTCAGAAATCACTCGAATATGCTGATTTGGTGTTCAAGAGACATTTCTTATTATTATCAATGTTGAAAACAGTTCTGCTGATGAATATTTTTGTGGAAACTGTGGTACAATTCTTCCAAGATTCTTGGGAAGTTCAAAAGAAAAGCATTTGTCTGATATAGAAATCTTTTGTAACATACTGTGAATTTAATGTGCTGACTTTACCACGCTGAATAAAAGATTAATTTATTTTATAAAAAGTCCCCAAACTTATGAACAGTAAGTATTGTCAACAGAAAACACTAACTAGTGGGATATCTTAAGCATCATCAGCACTGTGATAGCAAGCTATTTCAACAGTAACAGTGCCCTCTAGTGGATGTTTTATTTTCAGAATATAATTCCATATAAACACAAATTATTTTATTCCTAACCTTTAAAATATCCAGTGACAGGCAATACAACTAGTATGAGTATACAGTTAATTGTTAATATGTCAGTTTGTGTGTTTTGTCCACAGGCTGAGGAGGACAGAGATGACATGGAGAGAGTGAAGTTGGACAATAAGAGGATTCTGTTCAATCTTCTGCCTGCACATGTAGCTCAACACTTCCTGCTCTCCAACCCACGAAACATGGTCAGATTTCATTTACAGATCACAAAGAATAACCTTAAAGCAGCACTATGTAACTTTTTCTGTGTTCAAAATTTGCTAAATGTATATATATAATGAGCGAGTACATCATGAATTCATCTCCCAACAACCGCGTTGTCTTATTCCGAATCACTACGGTACACTTATAATAAGTACTTATATTTGGACTATTGTAGCCTGGTCGGGTCGTCACCGCTGCGGAGTAACACATACCTGCGTGAATCGCCATAGACATAAACTTAGAGAAGTAGCTCCGGTTGGAATGTTCTTCCGCGGGATGTGTGCAGTTCTGTTTATTAACCGCTAGAGCGCCAAAAGTTACATAGTGCTGCTTTAAAGACAACATGAGATACCAATTAACTTCTAATAATGTGACACATTTCTAAGCAAAATAGCATATTCAGATGAAGTGAAGTGGGGATTGTTGTGGTTTGTCAGATGTTGTAGTTCCCAAAGTCACCACTTCATGGCAATGTTGTTATGATCCAGCTGAGAGATCAGTGCAGATGCTTTGATGATAGCTTGTGTTTTGATCATTCAAATGAGATAAGATTGTGATTGTGTGTGGGTAGTGTAAATGCTCAGCCGCTCCGTCTGGCTTTGTGAGGCCTCATGAACACAATGAATGTGTGATTACACTCCCGTTATGCGTTTTATGTTTTTTTTTTTGTTTATGTTTGCTGCATGGTCAACACATGCTGCTCGCCTCTTTTTCTGTCCAAGATCCTTCACAGGAATTGATGCAATCAGACATCCTGAAATCTGTTGCAGCAGCTCTGAAGCAAGCATCCTCTCCTGAGCATGTAATTATATTGTAAACAGTGGCATAAGAAAGTGAAATTCTTGGACACATACGCAAAAGTACACACAAGATGCAAACATCACTGGAAAGTTTTACTATAATGATAGCTTGGAAAAAGTGTACAACTGTTTTGTCAAGTCCACTTATGATGTTAGTCATATTTTCTTGCACCAAAACATTTAAATTTAATTTTACATGACCAATTTTCCCCTTTTGACTCTTCTACCATTCAAAAGTTTGGGATCAGTATTTTTTTTATTTTTTATTTAATTAATTTATACCTTTAATCAGCAAGGATGCTTTAAATTGGTCAGAAGTGGCAGTAAAGACATTTATAATTGTACAAAAGATTTTTATTTCAAATAAATGCCTTTAAACTTTCTTTTTATCAACGAGTCCTGAAAAATGTATTACAGTTTCCAGAAAAAAGGTAACACTTTACTTAAAGCCTTTATGTATAATGCATTATAAAAGTAGTTTTAATGCATTAATTATACCTTGTTGTAATGCACTTTATAATGCATTATACAATTTCATGAATAATTGTAACCACAGTTAATACATTCTAACACTTATCAATTTATTGTTACACTTATGCATTTAATTTTTTAAAAGTTATAATTATTTGACAATATATAATGTATTACAACGCACATTATGAATAATTATAATGCATTATACCCTCTAATAACCCTTTAAAATGCAGTTTTAAGTAAAGATAAATAAATAAAAAATATGAGGCACAAACAGCACAATGTTCAACATTGATAATAAGAATGATTAGAATGATAATAAGAATGATGATTTCTGAAGGGCCATGTGACACTAAAAAAAATCTAGAGAAATGGCTGATGAAAATTCAGTTTTTTTTTTCAATTATATTAAAATAGAAAACAGTTTTAAATTGTATTTAATTTGCATTTTTAAAATAAGTTTTACATTTTAAATTGTAATGACATTTCACAATATTATTGTTTTTACCGTATTTTTGATTACATTTTTACTTAATTTAAATTTACCTTTTTTCAAAAATCCTACCGACCCCAAACCTTTGAATGGTAGTGTAAAATGACTAACATCTGTATATGATTTCAGCCAGACGAAAGCATTTATGTGACACTTAAAAATACAGATTATTGCTTTTTTATTGACAAATTAGTATGTCTAAAATCAAACATGCATGTAAACACTAATATTAGTTTGGTAAACAAAACTACACTGTTATATTAATCTTTTGGCGCCATGTTTCTTGTTTACAGCCATAAGACACCAAATTGTTGCTATGGTTATGTCCAAAATCATAATTTTGGGAGTGACTCCTATACTCCATACATATACTGTAGAATGATAATTAAAGAGAGTCACTTCTGTATTTAAATGCGGTTGTCACTCCCAAACTTTGCAGTGTGTACGTGGCCGATATGTCTACATAGTAAATCAAATCCTTCTATTTCAGAAGAGCAAGAAAACCCCCTTTTTTATGTGCATAAACCACTGTGAAATCTTTGATTTGAGATGGAAGGGTCAATCTAATGCACTCTACCTTTTAATATCGAAAGCAAGTTTTGCTTTGACCGAAATCAACTTGTCCAATTCATGCGTGTCGTGTGTCTTGACTAATTACCGTAGACTTAACTTCTCTAACCGCTGTTATATTCCAGCTCAGCCTGGATCAGTGGTATCGTCCCCTGAGGGTCTCATGGCTCTTTGATTTCCTGCTCTTTCACTGTTCCAGGACCTGTATTATCAGTCTTACTCTCAGGTGGGCGTCCTGTTCGCTTCCATCCCCAACTTTAATGACTTCTACATTGAGCTGGATGGAAACAACATGGGTGTGGAATGCCTCCGGCTGCTAAACGAGATCATCGCTGACTTTGATGCGGTGAGAATTTCTTGTCTCCCAGCCTGAGATATGTATGCTTTGGCTCAGTGTGCGAGTTACCTTAATCCCACTCTAGGCTTCATTTATTTCTCCATCACATCATCTCTCTCTTTCTCTGTCTGTAGCTGATGGATAAGGAATGCTACAGAGACATTGAGAAGATCAAAACTATTGGCAGTACTTACATGGCTGCGGTCGGACTCGTCCCCACTGAGGGATCCAAGGTACACAGAGTGTGTATGTGGGCAAACACAGCAAAAATCATTTTCTCAATCAGAATTTTTGCCTTGTTTTCCAGTAAAATGATCTAAACAACTTTAACACAAGATATGTTATTTGAGAAGCAAAAAGACTTGTTTTTAGAGAATGCACTGTTCTAAAGTTTGGGGTCTGCAAGATTTTCTTTTTTTTTTTAATGTCTACCAGAGTAGCATTTATTTGATTAAAAAAAAACAAAAAAAACCAGTAATATTGTGAAATATTATTAAAATGTAAAATAACTAATGCAAATTCCTGTGATGCAAAGCTGAATTTTCTGCAGTCATTCAGTGTCACATGATCCTGCAGAAATTATTCTAATATCCTGATTTGCTGCTCAAGAAACATTTGTATTATTATCAGTGTTGAAAACAGTTGTACTGCGTCATATTTTTGTGGAAACTGTGATCTATCTTTTTCAGAATTCTTTGATGAATAGAAAGTTAAAAGAACAGCTTTTTTTCTTTTTCTTTCTTTTTTTGAAATATATATTTTTTGTAAGATTATAAATGACTTTACTGTAACTTTTTATCAATTTAATGCAATGTTACTGAAAAAAAAAACACTTGAATAGTAGTGTCTTCAATTAAGTTTGATTTTTTTTTGTATGTTTTAAGTATAAATGTAACCAAATTTAGTGAGGTTTGCACATAAAAAGATAACATTTTATTTTATATTGTTATGCAACTGTGTTTTTCAAATGAATTTATTTTAAGGATGTTTAGATATTTTTAAAGTAAACAGTACAAATTAATCAAATTAGTATGAGCCCTGTGTGTGTGTGTGTGTGTTTGCTTTTTTTAAACTAATCTCAGTTTGGGTGTATTTGCATTTGGCCTTGAAAGATGAAAATCATGTCATGGCACCACTCAAACCTCCCACTGCTTTGAAAGTAAAACTAATATCAAATGCAAACGCACGTGCATGTTTGTTTTTCTGTCATAGTGGACACTTTCCATTGACTTCAGTTATTTTTATACCGAGCTAATTATATTTTCTCCTAACCCTAAAGCTAACATAAACACAGCCCACGGCTTAATTAAAGGGACAGTTAACATGACAATGAAAATTCTGTCATCATTTACTCACCCTCATGTTGTTCTGAATCTGTATGCATTTCTTTCTTCTGTGGAACACTGAAGAATGTTGGGAAACAAACCATTTCGGAGCCAATTGACTTCCATTGTATGGACAAAAAAAGAGACATCTCAAAATATCGTCTTTTAAGTTCCACAGAAAAAAACAGTCATACAGGTTTGGAACAACATGAGGGTAAGCAAATGCTGACAGTTTTTAGATGACCTTTCCCTTTAAACCTCAGATTAGTGATATGAAAATTATGAATGTGTTAGTAATATGAAATTATGATCTCTCATAATGTATTCACCTTATAACATTTTATTTTATATTGTTATGCAACTGTGTTTTTCAAATGAATTTATTTTAAGGATGTTTAGATATTTTTAAAGTAAACAGTACAAATTAATCAAATTAGTATGAGCCCTGTGTGTGTGTGTGTGTGTTTGCTTTTTTTAAACTAATCTCAGTTTGGGTGTATTTGCATTTGGCCTTGAAAGATGAAAATCATGTCATGGCACCACTCAAACCTCCCACTGCTTTGAAAGTAAAACTAATATCAAATGCAAACGCACGTGCATGTTTGTTTTTCTGTCATAGTGGACACTTTCCATTGACTTCAGTTATTTTTATACCGAGCTAATTATATTTTCTCCTAACCCTAAAGCTAACATAAACACAGCCCACGGCTTAATTAAAGGGACAGTTAACATGACAATGAAAATTCTGTCATCATTTACTCACCCTCATGTTGTTCTGAATCTGTATGCATTTCTTTCTTCTGTGGAACACTGAAGAATGTTGGGAAACAAACCATTTCGGAGCCAATTGACTTCCATTGTATGGACAAAAAAAGAGACATCTCAAAATATCGTCTTTTAAGTTCCACAGAAAAAAACAGTCATACAGGTTTGGAACAACATGAGGGTAAGCAAATGATGACAGTTTTTAGATGACCTTTCCCTTTAAACCTCAGATTAGTGATATGAAAATTATGAATGTGTTAGTAGTATGAAATTATGATCTCTCATAATGTATTCACCTTCATGTCACTCTAAACCTGTAAAATCCCTCCATTGAACACAAAAATTTTTTTCCAGAATGTTCAAGCTTCCATTATCCATGCACCAAAAGCAAGTGAACCTGAAATCATATTTGAACTTCCTCATATTCAGACACATGATAACCAGATTGACATCATTTATGGCATAGGTCAAGATTTTGAGAGAGTAACTGTATCAGTCTGTTTCGAAACAAAGCTATCATATGACGTCAGAAAACTTGGAAGAATTTTTTGTCTGTTTTGGAGCTTGACAGCTCCTGGTCACTATGATACGTTGTTTGAAGGGAAAAAAGAGCAGCATGAACATTCTTCAAAATATCTTATTTTGGGTTTCACAAAAACTTCAAATGATTAAGTTAATAACAGCTTTTTTTTTGTTGTTGTTTGTTTTTTTTCTGATCATAAAATCATCCAACAATTACTCTGTTTATTATCGTCATCTCAGAACAAGTGTAGAGGTGGTAGTATATGAATAATGTCTTTCTGTTTTCTCTCTGAATAGGTAAAGAAGTCCATTTCTGAGCACCTGTGCACAGTGGCTGATTTCGCCATCGAGATGTTTGATGTACTGGATGCGATCAACTACCAGTCCTACAATGACTTTGTGCTTCGAGTTGGTTAGTGACCTTGTTAAAGCGAGGTGTCAACCGTGTGTGTGTTTGTGTGAGTTAGTGTGTGTAAATGAGTGTGTGTGCTTCTGTATAAGTGGAGGAAATACATCAGTAAGTGTGGACATTGTGCCGGACATCCCGCATCCAGTAGGATGTCCTGAGTGTAACATGTTTTGTAAGGAACAGATTACATATAACAAACACACAGTTACACACATGCACGAACAAGCTACACTACATACACACTTCTTAACAAAATGTCATGAATTTAAACATCTCACTATTAAAGCATTAGTGGTATGCTGCTAACACAATATCCATCCCTTCAGCTCTGATGGCCTCTAGTCGCTGAGTAGATTAATTTTTTTCTTAAGCAGACAGACAGCAGAAAGTGAAGGTTTAGCGCAGGGAGCTGCTCAGAAAAACATACCTGCTACAAATCATTTTTTAATTAGGAGGGCAGACAGAATGGAGAGCTGGAACAATCCTGTAAAACGGTCCCAAACGAGCAATCTGTAATTACATTTTTAAGCCACTTGACAAGTCGCATTTGCAAAATTTTAAATTGCAGTTATGAGAAGGAATTTTTCAATATACTAATGACAAAATGTAATAGCTTTCTCCACCTCTGAAACACATTTTTCTGCTTATGTAACCAAGGCTACATGGTAATGAAAAATGAAATTCTGCAATTTATATTAGTATTTCTTTCTTTTATTAACAACTACAGGCCTCTTTCAATGCCACACTACCTGGTTTTAGTGAATTAAATCACGGTTTCCACAAAAATATTGAGCAGTTTAAAAAAATATATTTTAAAAATGTTGAACTGTTTCAACATTGATACTACTATGAATTGAATCTTTACCAGCAAATCATCAAAGAATGATTTCTGAAGGATCATGCGACACTGATGTAATGATGCTGAAATATCAGCTTTACCATTACAGGAATAAATTAAATGAAATGATTGTTTTCAATTGTAAAAATATTTCACAATATTACTGTATTTTTTAGTAGTGTGTTTGTGCATGTGTGTGTGTATATACAGTATATGTACCCTTTGCAGAATATGCAAATATGTTAATAATTTTAACAAAATAAGAGAGCTCATGAAAATTGCATGTTATTTTTTATTTAGTACTGTCCTGAATATGCTATTTCACATAACAGATGTTTAAATATACTCCAAAAGAAAAAAAATAATAACTGAATTTATAAAAATGACCCCATTCAAAAGTTTACATATCCTTGAATCTTAATGCTGTATGTCATTTCCTGAATGATCCACGACTGTTTTTCTGTATTGTGATAGTTGTTCATGAGTCCTGCGTTGGTCCTGAGCAGTTCAACTGCCTGCTTATATATATATTTTATTTTTTTTACCAGTGGGTGCAGGACACTATAGTTCATGTAAGTGAGGATAGCAAAATAAAGTAAACTGTGACATAATATACCCCAAAATTCTTCATACAGTGAACTACCAGTAAAACTGATAAAAAATTTGGGACCAAAAATTATTCAGACACTTTGAACTGACCATGTTTTGCTTAAGTGTTTTTTAATTGCTAATAGGATCTTTTTACACCACAGACTGAACAAAATTAAGCATTGCTTAGTCATTGGTTGACCTAAATTGGTATTACCTGTGTACTTAAAGGGATAGTTCACCCAAAAATGAAAATTCTGTAATTAATTACTCACCCTCGTGTTGTTCCAAACCCGTAAGACCTTCTTTCATCTTTGGAACAAAATTTAAGATATTTTATCATGAAATATGAGGGCTCTCTGACCCTCCTATAGACAGCAAGGAAACTACTACGGTCAAGGAACAGAAAAGTACCAGGATGATCGACAAAGTAGTCCACGTGACATCAGTGGTTCAACTGTAATGTTACGAAGCTACGAGAATACGTGATGACATTGAACCCATGCGCCGTGCCTTGTGTTCAACGTCATCACGCCGGATCTGGATCAGCGCCGGTGCCGCCACATGCTTGCGTCATGGTACTGTCATGAACGCACATCCACAAGTGACGCAGTAGAGATGAAAATGTGGAATAAAGTCGTTATTTTTGTTTTCTTTGCACAAAAAAGTATTCTCGTAGCTTCGTAATATTACGGTTGAACCATTGATGTCACATGGACTACTTTGTCGATCATCCTGGTACTTTTCTGGACCTTGAACGTGGTAGTTCCCTTGCTGTCTATGGGAGGGTCAGAGAGCCCTCAGATTTCATCAAAAATATCTTAAATTGTGTTCTGAAGATGAAAGAAGATTATCAAGATGAATTTGTTCTGACACAGTTTAACTCCGAGTTCTTGACATATTTTATTACCATTTTCTAAACTATATCAAATAAACTAATAATGTGAGAAATGTTTAAGGTGTCTGAATAAATTTTGGTCTTGTCACATTATATAGCACAAGAAGCAATAAACAATCAAACATTAAAAAATCATACCAACCCTAATTTTTTAAACAGAGTCTGTTTTACATGTAAAAATGGCAGATAAAGGGACGTTAAATCTGATTACTTAATCATTTTTGTTGATCATTGATCAGGTATCAATGTGGGTCCAGTAGTTGCTGGTGTAATCGGGGCTCGCAGGCCTCAGTACGACATCTGGGGAAACACAGTCAACGTTGCCAGCAGAATGGACAGCACTGGAGTTCAGGGAAAAATACAGGTAAAACAAACACACCATCATTTAAACAAACCAGCACACCACTCCAAACAAATCTGACTTCATCTGCCTCTTCATCCCAGGTGACCGAGGACGTCTTCCGCCTACTCTCCGGTTATTATCACTTCCAGTGTCGTGGCCAGGTCAGCGTGAAGGGCAAAGGTCAAATGCTCACCTACTTTCTGGAAGGCCGAACCACGCACACGCGATCCAAGAGCCCCGAGCGTGGGTCGAGCCCCTGCATCCGGACCAAACTGGGATCAGCACCCGCTGTCAGCAGCTACGGGGTGAAAAGTCACACTGTAGGGCACGTTAGCACCCCAAACAACAGCATTTTGTACCTGCCCTCTGTATCCGTTGACATGGAGATGGAGGTGTGATCACCAAGAAGACGGGTTCTATGGTGATCAATCGATGCATTAGTAAATCAGAGGCAGGGAGGGAAACCGAGCACAAGGTAGGAGCGAGATGAAAAACGAGGAGAGAAGAGACAGTCTTTGCACATTCAAACGTGCCAAACCGAGAAAGGCCCTCCCCCTTCACGCAAGTACATAATAAGCATGTATGTCTTTCCGTGTCCACGTATGCGTGTGTTTTAATGAGTCTTCCCCGACCAACAGGATATCAGGGTCTCCTAAACGGGAGCATGCGATCTACTGCAAAAGTCAGCTTCACACCAGCCGAGGAGACACGTACCCACCGTGTGTGAGTGTGCGTGCTTCTGTGTTATCTTGCATCTGAAAATGTCAAGAGATGCCACGGCGATGAATATTTTGAACATGTGAGCGGTGAGGACCAAACATTTCGTTTAAAACAGCGCTGTATTTTGTACGAGACTGAGTAAGGCCAGTTTCTGAGACGACGGAACGTGTGGGGTTTTTCCCACCAAGACAAAGGAAAAGCTGGTTGCTCATATTGAGATTTGCTTCGGATAAATTGTTTACATGAAGAACACGTCACGGGTTTACAGACCTGATAGCTAAGTTATTCCCAGCTCTTCGGGTTTCAAGCACTCGTCTGCGGTTGCAGAGAGAGAGAGGCAGAAATACTAAACAACCGCAGTGAATCAGAGACTGCAATGATTTACTTGCGAATGCTAACGCTATCCTGTTTTGTAATCATTTACAGAAAGTCAGTCGAGTCTGTGACGTGGGTAAATGTTTAACTTTGCGTGGGTTGAATCAGCACAGTTTTCCTGTATGTGATGTGTGTACGCACTTGGTGCTTAGACAAAACATCTGTATGCACTTGCTGCTGCCCTTTGCCCTCTGGGATATCCTTTCCAGTAATAACACGACAACTGATCCCATTGCGTTTAATAAGCGTCAAAGATGTGAAATACCGATACAATCGAGAAGCCAGCACAGTCGAGGCTGTCACCGATAATACTATTCACAAAAAGCAACCAAATTGGCTTCCAGTATGTAATCAAATGGCTTAATATACATTTATTCCACATCTATTTTGTCGGTGGTGGCACTTCAGATTCTCCTATCAACGGTAGCATCTCTCACTGTGCTTGTGGAACGATCTTTACCACACGGTTGAACATGCATGATATTTTAGTGCTGGATGTGTCATGTGCTCTCTAGATCTTAGGTTAAACATCTGGATTTTAGTGCATCTGTTTCAGAGCATGCGAACGTCTCAAACCTGCTCTCGGTTTGGAAAGCCTCACGAGCCTCATTTCGGATTTCAGAACGATGTTTTGGTTTTCTTTCTGTGCTATTACTGTATCTTTGATAGATTTCCCATGATGCCTAGCAAAAGAAGTTTGGCTTCAAGCATGCCGTTCTGCATGTCCCTCTCAGCATGCCGTAATTCTGTCACGTCGCTCTATTTGATAACTGATTTGTGTCTCTAATGCATGCCTACTGCAAAAACACAACAGAGGGTGAAAAGTGTCGAAGATATGTTGCGAAACATGCTTTAGTAGCACTGCATGAGCCCAGAATAATGGCCTTGATGAAACGAACCATCTTTTTTTCATTATCCGACGGTGTATCCGCTTACCTGGTCCGTGCGTGGTGCTGTGGGGAAGCTTTCTGGGAGTTTTGTAGCATTGGCGCCTTGTCGAGCTCTTGAAGTGACTGCCTTTTTATCCAGGGTCTGTTGGAAAAAGTGTATTTCTTTGAATATGTGCCAACACATACGGTTACCAACATATCAAACCGTGTTCTTTTCTAGCGCAACTTTGCGACATTGTGTGCATTCGGTTCCATTAAGTTCGGTTCAAACTTAACTCTCATATGGACTGATCGAACCACGTGGGGCTCAATGCCGACTCGCAAATGGGCTATTCCTCTTTATTTTTCGACGTTTAATTCAAGTTAAGCTATGTATTCAGGAATGCTCTCTCTGATTCTATTTTTCGCTGCATTTAGCTTAATTTGCCATGTACGGAATTTCGCATATTTATTAACGTAAAATAAGGAGCTGTTCATTCGAGTTTCATATATGTAGATTTTTGGTTTTTCTTTAATGAATATGAATGCCAAATGCCAAAATGCTTATCGTATCACTGAATATTTCAGATTCTATGATCCAACAAATGTAGCCAAACAGCTAAATTGTTCTATTTGATATGGCTTAATATGATCTATTTTGACTACAGTGGCCTAACTTACTGCTGTTATGAACATTAATGATATATTAACTTTAATAATGCATAAAGTGTGCACAGTAAAATCATAGAATAGATTTTCATGTCGATTAGATATTTTCATATTTGATACGGGTCAAAATTATTGTACGTATTAAATATATTGTAGAGTAAACAAAAAGAGTATTTTATTGATGATTTGTAATATTTGTGCTATTTTTGGGGTTGCAATGTATTTATTGCGATGGTTCTATGTGAATGTAAATTTCATATTGAGATCTTTTATACTTGTGTTTGCACTGTTCGGGAATAAAATAACAATGAGAGATGACATGGGGCTTCTGTGTGATGTTTGCAATGGTTGTGTTGTTGTGGCCATGGCCTTGACCTTGAATAAAGGAGACTTCAATCTATGGACTGATTGTGAGAGTGAATGACCTGGGAGTTCTGACATTGTATACACTCGAGAAAAACAAATGGGGCAAACAATGAAGATTCAGACCCTCTCATGTGATTTTTTTTTATTTTAATTTTATTTTATTTAGACTGATGGAAAACCGGTTTCCTTTCACACAAAAGTACATTTTATTTTATTTTGTTTTGTTGAGTTGACTTGAGACGAGACTGATTGAAAACCAGTTTCCTATCCCACAAAAAAAATACATCTCCTTGTTTTAATTTAAATTTAATAATATTTTATTTTATTTTTCATTTATTTTATTTTACAGAAACTGATGGAAATGCTTCCTCTTCCACATAAGTCCATGTCTTCATATATAATTTTTTTAAATTTTATTTTGTTGAGTTGAGTTGAGTGTATGAAGACTGATGGAAAACCATTTTCCTCTCCTACAAAAGACCGTGTGTTCCTGCTTGGGTATTTGCATTAGATTAATGTGTGAAATAAACAGAAGTGCTTCAGAACATCGAGGCTTTAGGAACTGCCGTAGATCCGGCCTATTGTCCCGCTACTCTTTTCTGCATACTTCCACGGCTTTCCAACCGGGAGCTGCATTTTTTCATATACAGGATGTGCCCGTTCCGAAGCATTTTGGGGAACAGGGGAAAAAAAATAAAGTCTTATCAGGCTGGCATGTGTAAGCAGCAAATAGACAGGATGTGACACATCGTACTGCCGGATACAACTTGCAAATGTTATTTATGAGAGAAAACGTACATATACACAATCACATCAGGGTGTCAGGATGGATGGACCTTTCAGCATGACCCACGCTCATCGCCATAGTTACTGATTATTATGGCCTGCTGAGGTCAAATGTCACTCTTAACGTCACATAGTGTCAAATTGACATTACCCTGCAAATGTCAGACAAATTGACAAATACCCTGCAAAAACAAAGGCCTGCATCTTGTAGAATAAACCATCCTTCCCTACCCAACAACACAGGAAAAGGAGTTTAAATAGACATCATATGACTGCAAAATGAATTTCACGTTAAAGGTGTAGTTCACCCCAAAAAAATTCTGCCATTAATTACTCACTCTCATGTTGTTCTAAACCTGTAAAACCTTCGTTCATCTTCGGAACACAAATTAAGATATTTTTAATGAAATACGAGAGCTCTCTGACCCTCCATAGGCAGCAACACAACTGATACGTTCAAAGCCTAGAAAGGTAGCCGACGAGAGTATCAGGATGCATGCGTTAGTGATGCGCGGATGAGCTAAAACGTCACCTAATGTTTTGTTGAATAACTTTTAATGTTAATTTACAGTTTATTCAATTTCTGTAGCCTATTTAAAACACGTTCATAATTTAGAAAATGTAGTTAATACTTGCATCATTAATGATTTATTTTATCCACCCGCAACCCACCCGCAAATAATCATAATGCATTTTTTTATTACCCGACCCACCCGATCCGCGGATTATCCGCAGCGCCCGCGGATATAACTGCCATCCGCGCATCACTAGCATGCAGTTGTGCTGCTGGCGTTCTGACATGGAACTCGGATGCGCTGCGGCTTGTTTACAAGCAGAGGAATGCACATGCATGCGTCATGGTTCTCTTGTGAACATACATCGAAGACTGACATGGAAGAGAAGAAATTGTTAGATAAAGTTTTATTTGCGCACAAAAAGTATTCTCGTAGCTTCATAACATTACGGTTGAACCAGTAATATCACATACACTATTTTAATGATGTCCTTACTACCTTTCTGGGCTTTGAACGTGGTAATTACATTGCTGTCTACGCAGGGTCATATTTGACCCATATATTCATCAAAAATATCTTAATTTGTGTTCCGAAGATGAACAAAGGTCTTACGGGTTTGGAACGACATGAGGGTGAGAAATTAATAACATAATTTTCATTTCTGGGTGAACCATTCCTTTAAAAATGATATCTACTCAACCTCATTTTGTTCTAAACCAAAAAGAAGAGTTAATGCAAATCTTGACATGCTATATTTGAATGAACATAAAGGAGATTTGAGAGTTAAAGCTGAAAGATTTAGAGCAAGAAATTACTTTTTGGTCTGTTTGTCACATAAATGTTCATATGGATACAGTCACATAACACTTGTTCGGTTGTACATAAATGAACAGTTCAGTCATTATCAATGTCTAAGAGGCTCTTTTTCATACAATAAATTTGCATGATGCTCACGGCTGTCAAGTTTCACATTTTGCTTGATTCAAAAGTTTGGGTTTGGTAAGATTTTTAAATGTTTTTGAAAGAAGTCTCTTATGCTCACCATGCAAGGCTGCATTTATTTGATTAAAAATACTGTTAAAACAAATATTATAACAATGCAAAATAACTGTTTTGTTTATTAATATATTTATGGTGATTTATATATTAATATATTGAAATGTAATTGAATCCTGTGATGGCTGAATCTTAAGCAGCCATTACACCAGTCTTCAGTGTCTCATGAAAACAGTTGTGCTGCTTAATATGTTTGTGGCAACTATAATACATTTTTTTCAGGCATAAAAAATTACATTTTTTTTAACATTATAAATGTCTTTACTGTCACTTTTGTTCAATGTAATGCATCCTTTCTGGATAAAAGTTTTAATTTGTTAAAAAAAAACACAAAAAAAACGTTATTGATCTCAAAATTTGAATGGTAGTGTAAATACCAGTGGGTCAAATGATAAACCCTCCTACATTTGATCTAAGTTCATTTCTCAAATGTGAATACATGTGATTCAGAGAAATTAATGTACGCACAAAAAACATGCAATGCCTCTCTTCCAGATTTAAAATCTATAAATCACAAATGATCTTGAATTGTGTGCAGGTGACTGGTGTCAGATCTCCGCCTTGTAAACGTCATTAGCAATTAATGTCATTAGCATATAAAAAGGCACCTGTTAATCTTTTACTTGAGAATGGCAAGTGTCTTCCACATTCCCACAGACTCTCTGCCACAACGAAAAGTGTGTACGCCTGCTTAGAACCTGACGCAGCACTAAGAACTTTTCCAAGACAAAGAGTTTTTTAAACCTGGATGTTTTTATAAATGAGGTCCCAGGATTTGAATTTAAGTTCAATTGCACAACATAAAAGAACAGTTCACCCAAAATGAAAATTGTGTCATCATTTACTCACCTTGTTCTAAACCAGGGCTCTCCAAACTGCAGTGTCCTGCAAAGTTTAACTTCAACCAATTAAAACACACCTGAAGCAGCTAATTAAGCTCTTACTAGGCATAGTGGAAAATACCAGTCAGGTGTGTTGAGGCAAGTTGGAGCTAAACTCTGCAGGACACCGGCCCTCCAGGACACCCCTGTTTGGACACCCCTGTTCTAAACCTTTATGAGTTGTTCTTCTGTTGAACACAATAGAAGATATTTTGATTAGTGTAAGTTGACGATAGCCATTGACTTCCATAGTATTTTTTTCCACAACGTGGAAAGCAATGGCTACCGTCAACTTTTTGATTATTCTTCAAAATATCTTTTATTCTCAAGAGAAGAAAGAAACTCAGTACAGGTATGGAACAACTTGAGGGTGAATAAATTATGATAGAATTTTCATTTTTGGCTGAACTATCCCTTTAAGCACACATTTTACGCTCGTATAAACAATTCTATTATTAGAAAGTGTTTATTTTCCTTTCGGTCATGTCTTCTCTTGCTCAAAAAAAGAGAAAAAGATAAGAACATCTCGATGAGTGTTCCATGGAAGAACGAATGTGATTCAGGTTTGAAACAGTATGAGGGCGAGAAAATGATGACAGAACATCTTTTTTTGTGTGTGCAAACTATCCCTGCTGAATTACCTGCACCCCTACACAGAAGTGAATGCAATGGAATAATCAGCCCAGCCTACTGAACCCATTGTGAGTTAACAAGGAGCTTTGCTTATGGAAAATCTCCAGCCTGTCCTGTAGCTCACATACTGTAGTGGTGTCAGATCAGGCCTGGGCTTGCTTTTCCAGTTTTTAACCAAGCCCATTCCTTTCCTCATCTCTCAAATGATAATCTCTGCCCTCCAGCACATCAGCGCTCACAATGACTTTCATACGAAGATGCTCTCGCTCACTCCCATTTTTCCTTGCCAGAACTTGTCTTTTCCCACTTTTTAACCGTTGGTCCCCTCTTACTGGAAACTGTAAACGTTTCCTGCTAAATGAAGATGTGTGCGTATTCTGTGTACATGCTGATGAGTAAGGCGTAGGAGTGTTTATTACCTGCAGGGAGGAAATGACTCATGACTTTTTTTATGGCTGACATACCAAGATAAACAGCAGCGCTAACAGGACATCAGCTTGCACACTTCAAACCCATCTGCTATTGAGATCACAACGACGCAGCTACTGATTGGATAAGATGGCCTCAGATCAGCATGGGGCTAATGATCAGTTTCCACTTCCAGTTAGCCAACTGAACAATCGTGACAAAACACTTTCACAACAGCTTTCAGGCATACAGTACAGGGCTATTCAGTGCAGACAGCATATCTGATAAGAGGATCCAGTGGTGGACTCAAAAACTGGATTTGTGATGGTTTGTGTGCACTGATGAAAGCGTGTTGTATTTTGATTTTACGCAAGGTACGGCGTGCTCTATTTTAAGATCATAAAACACAAATAAAACTGTCAAGCACTGATTGTGTAATTAGTGTTCAGATAAATAAATCACTGTTGAAATGCTGAACACATGTTCTTTGCATTATACACGAGTTTCATATGTTGCTATTTGATATGCTGATAAACTTGTACCTAATATAAAATTAACCCAGCCATGAAAAGTAGCTAGTTTTAAACATTTAAAACTCTTCAACACTTCAACCCTGCTAGAAAAGTTACTGATATTCAAACAAATGTTTTTTTCTTAAATGTATGGAAAACTTAAAGTTTGTCAGTAAGAAAGAACATAAGTTCAAACTTCCAAAGCTCAATTTAGGCTAAATTTTGCAAACCTGTTACCAATCTATCATCGTTTTTGGGTTATATTTCATCACCTTGGAATTATAAGGTTCTATCTGACATTTTTGTCAAAATTGAGTTATTCACATATTCTTATTCTGTGACTTATTTACATTATGTGAGGTTTGTACACGTTGTGTACATTTTGGGACTTTTTATTTTGAAAACAAAAAGTTTATATGAAAAAGCATATGGAATGCAAAAACTTTGAAGCTCAATATCCCAAAACCACTTTATTTTATTTTGTTTTATGTTATTAAAAAAAAAAAAAATCACAAAACAGAGAACTTTGACTCAGAGAAACTCAGAACTTTGACTTACATTCTGGAAAGATTTTCTGAAAGATATTAACAACCCTTCTTTCATTGTAACATTAATAGAAAGTTTATTAAAGGTTATCTGGTCTAATAAAGTTTTCAAAATATTATCACAAAAACATTATTTAAAGGGGTGGTTCACTCCCTCAGAAATAGGCGATGGGCTCTGATTGGTTAGCTAGCCCAGTGTGTTGTGATTGGCTCAACCGTCTCTAGTGTGCATCTAAACGTCCCGCCCCTTACCTCACCTCAGCGGCATGAGCTCCGGTTGTATTGTAAACAACGGCGTCGTTAATATCGCTTATCAGTTTGAGCCCGATTGAAAAGCAGAGGATATTATTGAAGAGGATCGTGCAGAACCTGTGCAAGCACGGCTTTTAATGGTAGGCCTATGTTTTTTGTTTGTTGTTGTCTCATACTTTTAGATACGCTGTTATTTGTAAATGCTACTGCTTATGTTAGCTTTTAATATACAGTTTTATCCTGATTACAGCTTTAATACAGTACGGCAACTGTACGTGCGTCCATGTTTAACGTTTCTCATAGCTATGTGAAAATAAGTGTATAATTGTTAACAGTTCATTGTTGGAGCTGAGCTGAATATGAGAGAGAGAGAGAGAGATGCAGAGCATGTGCAGAGCAGGGGACGCGAGGAACAGTATTGAGAACCGCTGCTTTAGAACATTGATTTTGAAACTTGTGAATCCATTAGAATCGTTAAAAGACAGAATCGCGATTCATATATGAAGTAACTTTGCAGATATTGTTTATGCTCAAACAGCAACATTACACACTAACTAACGTTAAAAAAGTGAAATCGCTATGAACCACCCCTTTAAACATTCATAGAACCATTTTTCCCCTTAAATGTTAGTTGGATGTTTGTCTAACTTGTTACTAGGTTACTCCTTGTTTTAGAATGTTCAGAAAAAAGTAATAATTAAAGTAACATTCCCATAATGTTTGCAAAATAATAAAATTGATTGTTCCCTTAATATTTGAACCAAGAAAAAATTGAAATAAAACTCTCTCTCCCACACACACACACACACACACACACACACACACACACACACACACACACACATA